TTGTAAAATTTTCTCATATTTTTTCAAATTTGTCATATTTTCATTTTGAATTAAACATTTGGTAATATTTCTACAGCTAACAAAACTAAGTAGTTTTGACATCAGAATATCATATACAGATCGCATTTATGGCCCGATCCTTACGAAATTTTGCATGGGGATAAGATGAGGGTCAGAATAGAAACCTACTCTTTTTGGAGATGATCGCCATATATTTAGGGGTTGAAATGGACCAAAAAACTGCAAAATTGTCTGCAGGTCGTAATTATCGCCCGATCCTCACGCACATTTGAATTGGAGTTACCGGACATTACAAAAGCCAATCAGTTTTGGATGGCCATCCAAAAATATTCAATGTGTGAAATAGTTTGCCAACTTTTGTAGACAAAATACGAAAATGTCCATTCCAGTGACTTTTTGGAGAATTCACAAATACAGGAAAGACGCACTTCTGACTATTTCGTTAACGCTGATTTCGTTCAGTCAAAAACCAATCATAAATAATAATCTTTTGCCACTTCTGAGATATTATAGGTCTTTGAGAAATATTCATTCCAGATCTAGGAAGACCATTTACGTGCAACATCTACCAATAAATTGGAAATGAGCAAATTAGTTAAAGTTGCTCTTATTCCAAAATTAGAGAACGAAACCTGATGGTTTTCTTTTATTATTTGTCACAATATCTTGCGGAATACTTTCAAGTATCTGGCCTATATAAACTGTATCGTTTATTATAGTGTTGTAGGGTATTCAACGGTCGGCCCCGCTCGACTGTAGCCTTTGCTTACTTGTTTTATCATTGCTTTAATAAAAAAACAAGTAAAAAGGCAGCTAAGTTAAGGCCGGGCCGAACTTTTAATACCCTCCACCATTTCGAAGGAACTTGACAATTTTCAAAAAAAAAAAAAAAACCGAAAACTACCACTTAAATGAAAAGCATTGTATGAGAACAATACGAAGACGTAGACGTGCATACGATTTTTTGCCATAGTTTGTAATACCCATTAAGATCTTTCAATACGAAATTTGAAACGATTTCGGTGAATAATGTTGCGTTGTACCGTTGTAATGTACCGTTATATGGGGGCAATACGAAGACGTAGACCTGAATACAAAATTGTTGGTACCCATTAGGAACTTAAAAAAACAAATTTTGAATAAGTCCGGTAAATAATGTCGCTAACATCATGAAAATACCAAATATCGGGAGGTACCGTTATATGGGGGCTATAATAAGATCTGGACCTGCATACAAAATTTTTTGCCATAGGTTGTAGCACCCATTAAGATCTTCCAGTACGGAATTTAAAACGATTACGGTGAATAATGTTGCTGAAATCATCTAAATACCGAATATCGGGAGGTACCGTTATATGGGGGCTATACGAAGACTTGGACCTGCAGACAAAAATTTCTGTCGTAGGCTGTAGTAGCAATTACGAACTTCAAATACGAAATAATTCCGGTAAATAATGTCACTAAAATCATGAAAATACTGAATATCGGGAGGTACCGTTATGTGGGGGTTATACTAAAACGTGGACCGACATGGCCCATTTGCGAAATTAACCTGCTTACTTGTAAACTATTCATATATGCAAAATTTTAGCCTTCTATAACGGACAAAGTTAATATACCTCCTTTCCAAGGTGGAGGGTATAAAAAAAAAACTTCTAGAAGAAGAAGAGGTAAATTATATTTGGGGCTTTAGAGTTATAGCCGAGTTTTCTATTAACCAAATATGGAATTTAGTTAAAATTTGCAAGTAATCCCCTCTCTTCTCGCCTTAGAGCCCATTCTTTAAATTTTTATAATTCTATCAATAAATATCGAAACATCGAAATATCTAACAGAAGACCTGATGTCCATCTCATTCAGCACTAGGCAATCGACTCATAGAAGACAAGGCATTTCGGTCATAGAAGACCGAATGGTCTTGTAAAAATAGACCAAGTGGTCTTCTCATAGAAAACCTTTTAAATTTTCGTGGCAGACTGTTGGCGTTGCCTGAGAACTTCGGTCCTCCAATAAAAGAACAGAAGGGTCCTCTATTATTCTATTGATGATATTGCAATATTCGTATGCTTGGTCATTAGATGGTTAGGGATAGAACCAGTTTTAGGATTTAATAAAAAACAAAGCAGTTAAGAACGACCGGGCCGAATTATTTATCACCCTCCATTATTTGGAAGGAATTATTTATCTGCTTAGCTGGCAGATTTATACCCTCTGCCAATAGCTTTTTTCTATCTATATTAAGAAGTAAAGTACAGCGTGATATGAAAAAACTGTAACAAACTTCAGACTGTTGTCATTATTAAGCCACTCGTCCGACAGCTGTTAATATTATTCCAGTGACAGCTCATTATATTGTTTACAAGCGTACAAAAGCATTTTGGTGAGAATTTTCCAGAAAAAAAGTTCTTCGTGATAGAATTCAAGCTGGAAAACCACAAGTGGCTATAGTTAGAGCACTCCAGCATTTAAATGTGAATAAATCTTTTGTGTCTCGTACCATCGCTCGTGACCGTGATACTGGTAGCGTAACCCGACATCAAGGATGAGAACGGAAGGAAACAGCAACACCAACATCAGAAATGGATCGAAAAGTAAAGAAGCGATCTGATCGAAACCCGCGTCGCATTGGCCGAAAAATGGCTCGTGAGCTGAACATATCGCAAATATTGAAAAATGAGCTTACACGGCAACAGAAAGAAACTAGGCTCAAAAGAGCTAAAGAGTTGGTTCGCTTGGCTGAAAGGGCTGAACTGCCGTATTTGGTTTTCTCCGATGAGAAAACATTCGTTGTCCAGCAGTTTGCAAACAATCAAAATGATCGTGTTTACTTGTCAAAAAGGTCAGCTGAAAATGTGCACCTTCGGTTGGCCACCAGAACTCATGCGCCGGTCATGGTGATGGTGTGGCTGCTGTAACAGCCGAAGGTCGCTCTCCGCTCGTATTAATCAACGTGGCATCAGAATAAATGCCGAATGTTATTGCGAAAATATTCTGAAGGGTGTATTGAAGACTTGGACATGTAAACATTTTGGCCGTAGTCCTTGGACATTCCAACAGGACCATCGCACTCAGCACGCGCCGCCCCAGAATAGTTACAAAATGAGGTTCCTCGCTTCATTTGCAGCGCAGAGTGGCTACCAAAATCTCCGGATACCAATTTATTGAACTATCGTATATGGAGTAATTTGGAAAGCAAGATTGCCATTAGAAAATACAAAGTGTCGATCACCTTAAGCAAGTGCTTCGCCGGGAATGGGCCAAAATACCGCATAGCAACATTTGGGCAGCGTGTGATGGTTTCTTTGGCCGTTTGAAGGCCATAATTCGATCCAAATGTGACACATTCGAACAAATCTAAACTTATTCTAATATGTTATGCTATTTCCGACATTTTTTGCTGTCATTCAATAAAATTTAAAAATAAGTAAAAATTATGGCGTTTAACTTTGTTGCAGATTTTTTTTATTTCCTTCTCCTTCTGATACCTCCCCCACAAGGAGTCAAAATTTTTAGCTCACAAAACACGAAAATAACCTCTGATTTCATTTAGACTTGGTACATCTCAATATTTCCAACAATATAAGATCTGTTGATGGTAGAGATCGCACCATTTCTTCTGGTACCTCCCCCTCATAGGGTCAAAGTTTTGAATAACCAAAATGATTGTAAAACCGAAATAAGTATCCGGTTTCCTTCATATTTCACACATTCCATTATTTCCACTAACACAAGATCTGCTGTGAAGATGGGATATGTCGGTCCACTTCTTCTGGTACCTCTCCCACAAAAGGGTAAAAATTTTCAATATCCACGATTCCATTCAGACTTGGTAAATATCAATATTTCCATCAGCACAGGATCTGTTATAAAAATGGTAGAGATCGGACCTTTTCTTCTGGTACCTCCTCCTAATAGGGTCAAAGTTTTGAATAACCAAAGCGATTATAAAACTGAAATAGGTATCCGGTTTCCTTCATATTTCACACATCCCTTTATTTCCAGTAACACAAGATCTGCTCTGAAGATGGGATATATCGGTCCTCTTCTTCTGGTACCACCCCCACAAAAGGGTCAACATTTTCAATATCCATGAAGATCATAAAACGCGAAATTAACATACGATTCTATTGAGACTGGCTACATTTCAATGCTCTCATCAGCACAAGATCTGTTATAAAGATGGTAGAGATCGGACCATTTCCTTTGGTCCTCCCCCACAAAGGGGCACATTTTTTAATACTTTTGTCTGTTCTAATTTTTGAAACAAGGCAGTGATTCTTTACAACTTGCTATACCGAAATATTTCCCGCAGCCAGAAATCTGAGATGAATATGGAATTTATGAATTCGCATAAAATTAGGTATAAATATTCGATTTTCTTGTAATGTCAGAATTTTTATCTGCATTGGATGAAGTGTGAAAATGGAATACCCCTATATCTGGTACCTAAAGCACATTTTAAAATGTTCTAAAAATTATCCCATATCTCATACAAAGTGAAGGAAGTTACCAATATAGTCCAAACCTGACACGTTGCAATATTTATATCATATTTATTATAGTCCGATACGAAATGGCCAATATTGGCTCATTTCTTCACAACCCACTCCATAGAGGGTCAACAATTTGAATAATCATAGCACAAGTCAACATATATTTAAATAATCGAACATTGGCTAAGGGTAGGTATCTGTCGGCAAAACCGATTGTTAGATATTTTAAATTTCAATTCTAGGATTATTCGAAACCCCTATTAAAGGACGTTCAAAAATAATTTTTTTTAAATTTTTCAATTTCTCACAAGATTTTATTTTGTTTACTTTTTAACTATGAAATTCACTTTTCATAAGCGAATATGGATATTTGCTTATTTGGTTACGAATATAGGTACAGTTTTGTGCCAAACGTCACATTCGACGTATTTTTTTATTTGCCCGTCACAAAAAAATAATAGATTTTTTTTTAATTTTTGTAATTACCATTTTGCGAAAGTTCGTTAATTATAAACGCGATATATATTTATTTCCGATTGTCAAAACAACAAACACACCGTTAGATTCGCATTGCGTGTCTATCGCGTTAGACTCCCAGTTGGGTACTACTTTCCGCTAGAGCATCCAAGTTATTAGAGGGCACTGAAACCGGCGACTTGCTGATTATCTAATTTTTGCCCGACAACCACACACACACAATAACACTTGACGAAACAAAACAACAATCAAAGAAATCCCAGAAAAAAACGGCAACTCAAAACACCAGTGATACAAATAAACAACTAATCATTTCAATTTAAACAAGTTAAAAAGCAGTAAGTTCGGCCGGGCCGAACTTTTAATACCCTCCACCATTTGCAACGAATTTGGAAATTTTCAAAAAATAAAATCCTTAAAAAATTCTGCTAAAATTTTAAAAATACCGAATATAGCCGTTATTTTGGGGTCTATACGACGTGGGCATACATAGGCATTGTTTCTCATAAGCCATTACCATATTCAAATTTGAAACTTGAAATAAACGGTGAATAATGTAGCTAAAATCATCAAAATACCGAATATAGGGAGGTACCGTTATATGGGGGCTATCCGAAGACCTGGCCCCGCACAGACAGTTTTCTGTCACAGACTGTAGCTCCCATAACGAACATCAAATACCAATTTTAAAACTATTCCGGTGAATAATGTCGCTAAAATCATCAAAATACCGAATATAGGGAGGTACCGTTATATGGGGGCTATATGAAGACGTGGACCTGCACAGACAATTTTCTGTCTTAGGGTGTAGTATCCATTTTGAACTTCAAATACCAAATTTGAAACAATTCCCGTGAATAATGTCGCTAAAATCATCAAAATACCGAATATCGGGAGGTACCGTTATATGGGGGCTATACGAAGACGTGGACCTGCACGGATAATTTTCCGTCTTAAGTTGTAGTATCCATTTTGAACTTCAAATACCAAATTTGAAACAATTCCCGTGAATAATGTCGCTAAAATCATCAAAATACCGAATATAGGGAGGTACCGTTATATGGGGGCTATATGAAAACGTGGACCTACATAGCCCATTTACGAACTTAACCTGCCTACTGGAAAAATAAACATGTGTGCAAAATTTTAGCCACCTATCTCAATTCATTCGAAAGATAGCGTGATTACAACAGACAGACAGACGGACAGACAGACAGACGGACATCGCTAAATCGACTTAGAATTTTACGCTGATCAAGAATATATATACTTTGTTGGGTCTGATATGAGTATTTCGAGGAGTTACAAACGGAATGACAAAGTTAATATACCCTCCATAGTATGGTGGAGGGTATAAAAACAGCTGAGAAAGTTGTTTAGTAGTTTTTGAAATAAATTCTGCTTTTTTTTGGAGGGGACACGTGCTTGATAAGCTTGATAACCTGACATCTTTCTGGTGGTTTTCGTTAAATTCAAATGGGGGCTTGTTGATTTAGTATGCAGAACTTGAAATTAGCTGAATCATTATTTTGAATTTTTTATACCCTCCACCATACTATGGAGGGTATATTAACTTTGTCATTCCGTTTGTAACTCCTCGAAATACTCATATCAGACCCAACAAAGTATATATATTCTTGATCAGCGTAAAATTCTAAGTCGATTTAGCGATGTCCGTCTGTCTGTCTGTCTGTCTGTCCGTCTGTCTGTCTGTCTGTCTGTCCGTCTGTCTGTCTGTTGTAATCACGCTATCTTTCGAATGAATTGAGATAGGTGGCTAAAATTTTGCACACATGTTTATTTTTCCAGTAGGCAGGTTAAGTTCGTAAATGGGCTATGTAGGTCCACGTTTTCATATAGCCCCCATATAACGGTACCTCCCTATATTCGGTATTTTGATGATTTTAGCGACATTATTCACGGGAATTGTTTCAAATTTGGTATTTGAAGTTCAAAATGGATACTACAACTTAAGACGGAAAATTATCCGTGCAGGTCCACGTCTTCGTATAGCCCCCATATAACGGTACCTCCCGATATTCGGTATTTTGATGATTTTAGCGACATTATTCACGGGAATTGTTTCAAATTTGGTATTTGAAGTTCAAAATGGATACTACACCCTAAGACAGAAAATTGTCTGTGCAGGTCCACGTCTTCATATAGCCCCCATATAACGGTACCTCCCTATATTCGGTATTTTGATGATTTTAGCGACATTATTCACCGGAATAGTTTTAAAATTGGTATTTGATGTTCGTTATGGGAGCTACAGTCTGTGACAGAAAACTGTCTGTGCGGGGCCAGGTCTTCGGATAGCCCCCATATAACGGTACCTCCCTATATTCGGTATTTTGATGATTTTAGCTACATTATTCACCGTTTATTTCAAGTTTCAAATTTGAATATGGTAATGGCTTATGAGAAACAATGCCTATGTATGCCCACGTCGTATAGACCCCAAAATAACGGCTATATTCGGTATTTTTAAAATTTTAGCAGAATTTTTTAAGGATTTTATTTTTTGAAAATTTCCAAATTCGTTGCAAATGGTGGAGGGTATTAAAAGTTCGGCCCGGCCGAACTTACTGCTTTTTAACTTGTTGTTTGTTCTTTTTTTAAGCCAAAAAGAAAATATTCAAAATATGGAAAAACATTGCCATTTGAATTCTAAAATAATGATCTCCACTAGCGCCATAAATTTTGTCGCTGACATGCCTCTCTTAAAATTGACGAAGACTACTTTGTTATTGTGGAGGGCCAAAACTTAAAATTGTAAATGAAACTTTTGATGCTATTTATACCCTACATCACATGGTGGTAAGGGTATTATGTCTTTGTGCATTTGTTTGTAACAGGCAGAAGGAAACGAGATAGACCCATATTTCCTTTTGATGATCTGCATAGAATCACATTCTGATTCGATTTATGTATGTCCAAAGTACAGTTCGCATTTATTGCCCTATCCAGATGAAATTTTGCACAAATCATTTGTTTGGCCTAAGGGCGAACCCTATTGAAATTGGAGATAATCGGTCAAAATTTAGATATAGCTCCCATGTAAATCTTCGTCCGATTTGCTTTTTATTGTGCACCAAATGTGTAACATCAGTCCGAATAGTATGGAATTTTGAACGTACGATCAGATTGGACCTGAAAATAAGTATGCCAAATTTGTTGAAGATCGGTTCAGATATAGCTATAGCTCCCATATGTATTGTTCATCCGATTTGTTAATTTTGTCCTCCGCAGCCGTAATATATAATATTTGGGGAAATATATCACATACAGCTCAGAAATACATTTGCTAAATTTTATCGAGATCGGTTCAGATTTGGATATAGCTCCCATATATAACTTCGTCCGATTTACCTTTGATTGTACACCAAACGTCTAATACTTGCCCAAATTGGATGAAATTTGGCACTTACGACCGAATTGAATCTATAAGCTAGTATGTCAAATTTGGTGAAGATCAGTTCAGATATAGCTATAGCTTCCATATATATTGTTCATCCGATTTGTCATATTTATTACCCACAGCCCTAATATGCACTCCGTAACAACGATATTCAGGGAATTGTATCAAATACAGCTCAAAAATATCTTTGCCAAATTTTATCGAGATCGGTTCCGATTTGGATATAGCTCCCATATATATATTTTTATCCGATTTCAAATTAATTGAGCAACAAATGGACAATATAAGTCCGAATTTAAAAGATACAAATGCTTCGGCATATTTAGTCCTTTGAACTTTAAATTATAAATATAATCTAGCGTGATTGATTGAATGATTGAATTCTCCCATCAAAACTTTTAATTGTTATGCGCAGCTCTACTCAATAAGCAGAGTGGTGTATCGTATCATAAAGTCGGTCCCGCCCGACTTTAAGACTTTCTTTACTGGTTTTATCAATGCTTTAATAAAAAAACACGTAAAAAAGCAGCTAAGTTCGGACAGGCCGAACTTTTAATACCCTCTAGCATTTCGAAGGAACTTAAAAATTTAAAAAAAAAAACCGAAAAGTACAACTTAAATGAAAACCGTTATATGGGGACTATACGAAGACGTGGACCTGCATGCGATTTTTATACCCTCAGCCATATGGCTACAGAGGGTATATATCATTTGATACGGCCAAAACGTGCCTAGTCGAAATAACGGTTTTAGACCCTAGGTCTCTTTGGACCAAATCCGTTTCAGAACATTTGGAGTCGATCTAGCGATGTCCGTCCGTCCGTCTGTCTGTCTGGCTGGCTGGTGCGCACGATAACTCTCGAAGGGAGTATCCGATTTGGTCCAAATTGGCTACATCGTAATATTTTTGTCAAACTTAGATCGAGTTCGGAGATGGGCAATATCGGTCCACTCCTTCTGGTACCTCCCCCACAAAAGGTCGAAATGTTCAAAAAATATATTATTTGCACAGAAAGAGAAAGGATAATCCGAATTTGCTCCAATATTGCAAATCCTTATATTTGCGTCAGTGCTAGGGCAGGCGTGGAAATGGACAATATCGGTCCACTCCATCAAGTACCTCCCCCACAAATGGTCAAAATTTTGAATAATTACAACTCTCATAAAATGTTATGTAATAGTCCGATTGTCTTCAAATTTCACACATCCCAATATTTATATTAACCCAAGGTCTGGTGTGAAGGGGGAATACATCGGTCCACTCCTTCTGGTACCTCCCGCACAAAATATTGAAATGTTGAGTACCCATGAAGCTCATAAATCGCCAAATTAACATCCGATTCCATTTAGACTTGGCACATCTGTCGAAATATTTATATCATATTTTGGGTCCGATAGGAAATGGGCAATATTGGCCCTTCGGGATCTGCTCCATAGAGGGTCAAACGTTTGAATAAACTTAACACTAGTCAAAATATATTTAGATAATCGAACATAGGCTGAGGGTATATCTCTGGCGGCAATACCGACTGATAATTTTTAACTTGTTTTTGGCATAAGTTGTAATACCCATTAAGATCTTTCAATACGGAATTTAAAACGATTCCGGTAAATAATGTTGCTAAAATCATAAAAATACTGAATATCGGGAGGTACCGTTATATGGGGGCTATACGAAGACGTAGACCTGCATATATAATTTTTCGTTACATACAACATTTTTAGTACCCATTACAAACTTTAAATATG